TATAATCTTGTTGGATTCTATTTGCTTTAGCATTTTTTTTTTTTTTTTTTTTTTTTTTTTTCTTGCCATGATTATGTTTTGCCTTCAAACTCTGCAAAAATTTTAATTTACTTATCTTAAATAATTTTCTAAAAGCTTGCTTTAATCAAAGACTCCAATCAATTGCAATAAATTTTTTTATAAGACTCAAAATTTGCCTTCATCATTAACAAAATCAAAGATACAATAACCATCAAAAGTATAATATTGTGTTTCTTTCTTCTTGTCTTTAAGTCACTTTGATGTCTTAAAATATTCTAAGATGTCTCTAAGATAAAAATCCACTACATGTCGTTCCTTCTATCTTTATTCTTATCCAAAAAATCACCAAGAGGACTTTAAGATAAACTTGTGGTTGACCTTATCCTTATCTAAAAAATCTCCAAGAGAAGTTAAAGATGAAAATCCACCATATGAGATTTATTTCATCTTTTAACCTTCCTAATTATTAATCTTATGGCTGATCTTCTATTAACAATAAACAAGTACATAAATTAAAATAATAAATAAATAAATGAACTAAAATAATAAATAAGTACATAAACTAAAACAAATATATGAACTAAAAAAAAATTACTAATAAAAATCTAATTATATACTTGAGATAGGCACTGTATACATAAATATCTATTGTTTAGTTATTAAATGGCCCATATTCTACAAAATTTTTTATTATAGTTGGAAAAACTTGTTTTTGATACATTATCCTTTTTGGTAACCATACTCTTAATTTTGTGATTACGTTGCTACTTTGGATTATAATAAATGGTGTGCTTAAATTATCTATAATATAAATACAAACCTTCTTAATAATATCAAGTCTTTCTTTGCACAAATAAAAGGTTTGAAACATATTTTATCAAATTATATAATTTTCGGCTTTGATGAATATTTTTTAAAAAATTTAAGAATTGCAGCTATGACTTGAATTATATCTCTCCAATAAAATCTTTGTTCTTAGCATCTTTCAAAGAATCAATTATTGCATACAATAGCTTAAATAATAAATTATTCTAATGAGTCTCTACTCAACATTGTCAATGATAAATCTTTGATATTATCTTCTAATCTATATTAAAATTAATTGATAAAGTTTTTTTTTTTTTTTTTTTTTTTTTTTTTATAATACACATTGCTAGCAAGATTTTGAAATTCAACAATGTATATAGTGGCTAAACATGATCTTTTTCATAAAAAGAGGAGTTTAATCTCTGTTATTTTTTTTCAATGAATTTTTTTAAATGTGGCTATAAATAATTTTAAAAAATAAATTTAAATCATAAAAGAATCATAAATTATTATTTTTATTAAAGGTACAAATCAAAATAGAGCACTCTTTGATAAAAATATACTTATAAATTTAATTCAAGTAAATCCATCATGATATTAGGAAATATGTAAGTATAAATAGAACTTTACTTCTAAAAAACTTCAAAACTTTGATCTTATTCCATTGAACTTTTCCAAAATATATATCTATATTTGCTTTATATTTTTAATAACAAGACTTTTTGGATTTAGTTGTAAACTTGATTTACTTGCTTCTTTCAATTGCACAACTTTTTGGTATAGATTTTAAATTTTATTGTTGACTTCTTCTTTAGATGTAGGAATAATACCTCCATGATTAATCTTAGAATTGTATGAGATTTTTATGTTAATAGAATTGACAAGCTTGTAAAGATCTACAATAGTTTTAAATCTTTTTTTACTTCTGCTAAAAACAACATTTTGTTATAAACATACATATTTATTCCAATAATTATCTATATGATTAAATAGAAATAGATAAAAATAGATTAATTTTATAATATCTTTTAGATGAATTTTTTTTAGAAGCTTTATAGATGCTACTTTGATTTTATATGTGTTTATATTTAATTAGTAGGTTAAAAACTTGGTCAACAAGTTAACCACATATCACACAAGTTGATAGCTTGTAGAACATTCTAACTATGTGGTATATATATAAAAAAATTATCCTTTAATTTAAGACATGTGTTTTGTAAATTCAATACATTATTATATGGCATGATTTTTTATTTAAAAATATACCAAATACCTAGCTGTAGAAAATTTAATTTTAACTTATTGACCAAGTTTCAATAAGAGATGTATTCTTATTAGAGGCTAAATAAATATAATAGTATAAAAAAATATTTTATTGATAAAATCCTTTTTTATTTAAGAAGCTTTATACATAAGACTTTCTAAAGTATCTAAAAATATCTAACAACTTTTGCTATACCAAATAATAAATAATTAATTGCTAGTAAGTTAGATTTTCTATAAGCTCAAAGAAAATCCATAATCCTCTTACAAAAATTCATCTTTATATTATGAATTTTTTTATAGCTCAATATTTCCATCTTTTACATATATATAAAGTCTTGGCTTCCATTAATTTGTATAAAATGTCCAAATTTTGTACCATATATAAAATCTATTATAAGTAAAGAATTGGCTAAGCTTTTCTTTGACAACATCTATTACTATCATGAATTATTTAAGGATATTATATTAGATAAGAGGACTCAATTTGCATCTAAATTTTTAAAAATTCTTTTTAAGATTTTATATGTAGATATAAAGCTCTCTTTGGCTTTTCATCTTCAAATTAATGGGCAAATAGAATGGATAAATCAAGTTCTAGAGAAATATTTGAGGTGTACCATCAATTATCGTCAAGATGATTGAACAATTCTTTGATAATTGGTAGAGATTGTATACAATAATTTGATACATTCTTCTATTCAACAAATATCTTTCTTTACCAATTATAGTTATTATTTATAACTTGATACTTTTGATTTTTTAAAAGTTGATAATCCTATGATAGAAGATTTGGCAAATCATTTGTCAAAGCTATATGCAAAAATGAAGGCATAATTAAAAAAATCTGAAGAATGATAAAAGATTAATAGAGATGCCTATTGAAAAGAACAACCATAATTTAATGGAAATGACAAGGTATGGTTACTTTGTTGTAATATCAAGATTACTTATCCTTGTTACAAGTTGGACTATGATACGCTTAGACCTTTTCCTATTGTAAATAAATCAATCTTCTTGCATATCAATTATATCTATTAGAGTCTATAAAGATCCATTTTATATTCTATGTGTCTCTTCTTGAGCCATATAAGACAGTGAATATTTCAAGAAGAAGACAAATACCACCTCTTCTTTTGAAGTGGATAATTATCAAAAATTTGAGGTATAAGAAGTTTTAGATTCAAGGAAATACCAAAATAAATTGAAATATTTTATTGATTGATATAGATATGATATTAGTGAATACATATAATTTTTTTTTTTTTTTTTTTTTTTTTTATAGATAACTTGAATAAATTCATAAGTCAATTTTGAAGCTAATAGATCACAACTACTAATATCAAATGAAAATTTTACATTTTTTTTTTTTTTTTTTTTTTTGAAAATAAAATCGATGTGAAAAAAATCAAAATATTAATTTTAAAGTGGATATATTGTAACCTTCAAAATACAATAATAGAAGTGGGATAATCCACTTATTTCTATAATAAAATAAAAATAATGAATTAATATTCTTATTAAATTATTAAAGACATGAATTATAACAAATAAAATTTTAATATATATATTTTTTATTCAAAAAGAATAGATATTCATTAAAAATTAATAAAATATTAAAATTAGAATGACCATTGCTAAAGACAAGAAGATTAGAGACTCTTGAAATAAGACTAATAACTAAAAAGGCATTTACAAGAGTGAAAAAGCCTTCACTCTTGCTTCTATATATACTATCTAATTAAAAGGTATATGGCAATATTCTATAGAACCTCCAACATGTGTTCAACTTATGAAATCTAAGTCTAACTTACAAGATAAATTTTCTATATGTATGCTACATGGTTATGTTGTATCACAAGTTATCATGTGACATGTGGCTAACTTATTGGCTAAGTTTTCTATCTACCAATCAATTGCAAACACTTCTAAATTCAAATCCGCATCTATGCAACTTCTAAGAAGGTTGGCCATAAGATATTACCAAATCTATTTACTTCTACTTACTTCTATCTAAGTTCTTTAATCTAGGTAAATATGTATGTTTGTGATACCAATCATCTAGAGGTCTTTATTCTCTTAGGTGTGTCTATAGCACTTTAGGATGTGTGTGAAGCCACTTAAAAGTGTATATTTAGCCTAAGCCAATTAGAATACATCACCTTTGTTATTATTTTTACTAGTGAATTGAGTCAAATACTATAAATTATTAGTTCTTATTGATTTTTTAAAAATAATAATAATAATAATAATAATAATAATTTTTGTTGAAAAATACAAAAAAATATTAAGAATTAGAAATATTTTTGATTTATAACGATTTATTTTTTTTAAAAAAATATCATAAATTATAATAGTATCAATGTAGGATATTTGTAATTAAATGACATTGAGGGACATATGTAACAAACTAATATTGTTATTCAAGAGTACTTACAAATCTTTAGTAGATTGTACAACACAATAAGAAACGGGAGCTCAATTTCTACGAAAGAAACCCAAAGCCCAATATGTATGGAAGTAACAGGGTTCTCACGGCGCTGTCATCGACGACTTAGGAAGAAAAGGCAACTTTTTCAGCAATAGAAGTTTTGAGCCCCAAGAGAATAACGACCTGTGTTGACATGCAGACGTAAACAAGCTTCGTCGTAAATGCACCACAGAGGCTGGGTATCCCCACTCACTTGCTCGGTCTCGGCTTTCTACTGTACAATCATGTCCACAGTCAATTCTAAGGGGCGAATATCGGACCAGTCAGCAGTGCCGTTGAAAGCTTCACCACCGGAGACTGTTGAGGTGGTGTGGCGTCAAGTTCCCGTTCAACACTGGGCCCCACATGTGGGACTGAGCTTCAGATCAAGTGATTCGTGCTGTTGACTCTCGGCGTTTTCATCAAAATTGCCTGGATAGTGGTCGTTCCACAGGGATTGATCCAGTCGGGTATAAGTAACATGAGTGGAGTTCACTCACACCGTGTCACTCACAAAGCTTACAATTGCCATATCAACTCAGTGCAATCCGCAAACACTGTTGGTCTCTTCGATTCCAGGCGAGACAACTTTCCCGAGGTATGATTCCTCTCCACGGCGGAGGTTTTGGGTGAGATTAGCTCGATCGAGCTGTCAGTCTTCGTGATCGTATCTCAATGCTAATTGCATGAAACAATCCCTCTATTGTTCTTTCACATGCGTAGCAGCGATGTGATGATGGACGAAACCCAGACATGCATGCAGAAAAAGACCTCTATGTGATGGTCCTGTATGATGATTTATCGTTAGCACTGTCGTGAGGACATTCTATCCTCTCCACAATCAGAATATGCTGTTCCAGGATTCATATCTGAGATGCTTCAATGATCCTGTGCAGGTAGCAAGTTAAGCAGCGATGGCAATCTCCGCAGCCGCCTACACCTTGTGTGTGGTGCTTTGCATCTGCAGCTTTCAGACATCGGTGTTTGCGGGTAGGTTCCTGATTAGTACGCATCCATGCTTAAGCGGATTGAAAGTGTGGATCTAAATGTTGTGTTGGATATTGAACTGCGAAAAAATACCTTGATTGCAACTCTTACCACCGACCTGTGTTGAATGCAGCGTCCAAGCCGCTGAAACTGACGTACTACGCTCACGAGACCCGCGGGGGACCCAATGCCACCCTCTTGCCTGCTGCTGGAACCGGGCAGGGCAACTTCAGCGCCCTCGGATGGGGAAGTTTCCTTGTGTTCGACAACGGATTGAAGGAAGGAGCTGCACTCGACAGCAAGTTGCTGGGCAGAATTACAGGATTCGGAGCTATATCCACCGTCGGAGGATCGGCAACGGGAGGCGTGCAGGTCACTAGCAAGTTCTGGTTCGGCGATGGATCCAAATACCCCGGCTCGAGCTTCACAGTGGTGGGCACCCTGTCTTACGGCCCAACTCCCTGGGAATTGGTGGTCATCGGCGGCACTGGAAAGTTCCGAGGATACTCTGGCTACGGACTGGCCCAGCCCGAGAACTCCACCACCGTGCCTCCGATTTACGTGAACAAGTGGAACTTCTACCTCACCAAGAAGTAGACGACCACTAGTCGTGGTGAGGATCATATGCATATATCCTTTAGCAGCAGTGAATGGTGGGTACGTTAATATGATCCATTCTTTCATGCCATAGTTGTATTCCAAAAATTGTACTTGAAGTTGAAAGGGCAAGCGAAGTTGCTAATGACGAAAAAGTTGTTGCTCTCAATAGTCAATCGAATGATTTTGTCAATAAAGGTCAGGAAGACAGAAGGGGAGTTTAAAGTGAAAACTGAGGAGGTATTATTTGAATGAAAGCTGATAAAGTTTTCTTGAGCTAGTGCTTTTGAGGACTTTCTTGCCATGGTGTATTCGAAAGTCACAACTGCCCGGGTATATTATGAACGACAGGTTTTGTTCAAAGACTAGGCCAACAAAAAATAAAATTCCTCTTCAGTTGTGGGACATGTAATACATCACGAAGAATACCTTGTTGGTGTTAATGTCGCCTCTCACAAGAATCTAGAGCTTTGTATTGTTAGCTATTTGTATCAAAGAATACCTTGTTGATGTTGATATTGCCTCTTCCAAGAATCTAGAGTTTTGTATCGTTAGCAATTTGAATCATATAACCTTAGCAAATTTTTTTCATAGTAGATGTGAGTTATCAAATCAATTGACAATTTGTTTTAGAATAAATGAATACAATAGGAATATTAAGTGGCAATTTTTTATAGAAGATGAATCTAGAGGATGTTAAATATAAGCAAAATAGAATTAATAGATAAAACATAGTTATGGATAGAAATTCTAGTAGAAAAATCCAACATTTGAAGGTTTTTTGAAAGGCATCAAATTGGCATCAATTGTAGCATCTTAAGAATATCTAGAAAAAATCCAAAATCTTCAAAATTCTACTATATATGGTTCAAATATAATTGTATATGGTGTTGTATTGGAAAGTGGTATAATATGTAAAAATAAGGTAATATATTATAAGAATTTGGTATGAAATAAAGAAATAGTAAAAAAAAAAAAAAAAAAAAAAAAAAAGTTATAGATATTGATAGTTTATCTCCAAAGATAAGTCAAGATAGGTTGGTATGGACTTGAGATGAAGTAGTACGGTGCTTAAGTAAAAAAACATAGATTGAGGTGGAGTGACATGGGCTTATATTGACTTTTGAATCTCTCACTACTTCTTCTTTGTTTGGGCTTTCTCCCCTTGAATATATCTAACTATTTTTTGGTGGTTTTTATATGGAATTTAAAATATTTTTTTTAGAGATTTTGAGTAGTAATTCTTTATTTTATTTATTTTTCAAAAATCTCACTTGTTCCAAGAAGAGTTAGTATAAAATTAGGGTGTATTTTAGAATAAAAAGAGAGCTAGCCACCCTTCAAGATCTTCTTCAAGGTTTTTTTTGGTAGTTTTTTCCATAGTATTTTTAGTATTTTACTTGAAGATATTAAAAAGTGGTTCTTCTTTTTGTCAACTTTTCAAAAAGCTTTCATTTAATTTAAGAAGAATTAGCATAAAGGTAAAGTGTGTTTTAGAACAAAGAGGAATCAATTGCCTTATGTTAATAATATTCTATCTAAAAATGAATGACAAAAGATTAAAGTAAATAGTATCTATTTTGCTCTTATAGCCAAGAAATTATATCATTAAAGAATTGATGGGATTTTAAGTTGTGGTCTTACTTATAAAGAAGTACCACTTGTAATAAAAGCTTGTCATTCAAGTGCTTATAGTGGACACTTCTCTAGTCAAATAACAATTCAAAAAATCTTTAAAGTAAGCTATTTTTGATCTATAATATTTACTGATTTAGAATCTTATGTAAGATCTTGTGATGCTTACCAAAGATATGCATGCAATGATTTAAATCTTACAATGCCTTTAAATCTCACTCTCACTTTTTTCATTTGAAAAATGGTGTATAGATTATATTGGACCAATTTATCTTGTATCTTCATGTCAAATGCAATATATCATTGTAGCCACAAAATATTTGATCAAATAGGCTGAAGTAAAAGCTATAAAGAAGATGGATGCCAAATAAATTGCCATATTCCTATATGAAAATATCATAGCTTTTTTTGGTTGTCCAAAAATCCTTGTGAGTGGCAATAGTATTCATTTTTTAAATGAAGCTATTAAAGAAATGACTACATTTTTTACCATCAATCATAGGAAAACTACTCCCTATCATCTTCAAATAAATGGTCTTATAAAAAGGATCAACCAAATGTTAGTTCGAATATTACAAAAATTTGTAATGGATTCTAAGCATGATTGGAATCTTAAACTTACTTCAGCACTTTGGACTTACCAAACTACTTACAAGGTTTCTACAAGAGCTATGCCTTTTTTCTTTGATATATGGAATAGAAGCCATTTTACCAATAGAATTTGAAGTCCCATTCTTATGCATTGCCATTGATGAAAGATTGGATACTTCTTAATTTTTGAAAGAAAAATTAGAGTATCTAAAAAGACCTAGTGAGATTCAAAGATTTGCAATTCAATACATAGAAATAATTCAGAAGAGAAGAAAAGAGATCTTTGATAAAAAGATAAAAAAAAAAACATCTTCTTACTCTAGGAATATGGATGATGGTTCAAAATACTAGGAAACTAGAATTTTCAGCCAAATTTGATGCACTTTGGACCGAGCCTTATATTATCAAAGAAGTCTTTGATAATAATTCAATTCAACTTAAAACATTAGATAGAAAAGATTTTCTTACATAAACTAATAGAAGTCATTGTAAAGAATATAGAGTGTAGACATTAGTTTCAATACCAATATACATTGTTTTTTTTTTTTTTTTTTTTTTTAATAGTAGTTCTAAGTCAAACCTAAAGATTATTATCCCTTACTATACTTTAATGCTAGACTCAAGGCATAAGTGGCAAGTATAGTTAAGTATTTTTTCTTGAGTCATAGACATCTTCCATGTAGTCTATAGAACTCAATTTTGTCGTTATGAATTATAATCATGTAGTCTTAGTTCAAATCTCAATAAAAATATAGTACTATCAAAACTTAAAACAATGATTGAGCTAGAATTTGCTAAACGTAGAAACATATTGAGTCTAAACCAAACAATTATTTTTTTGTCTCTAGGTCAATATTTTAGTAATTCTACTTATATTCTACTTCTTCTAATAAATGATAGTATCTTTTTTTGATAAATTTCTATTTACTTTATTTTATTTTAGCTTATTTTATTTATTTATTTATTTATACTATTATTATTATTTTATTTTATTTTTATTTTTATTTTATTTTTATATAGACCATGTCAAATGTAAGAGCTAGATTCTTTGTATTCTTACAAATAGTCCTAGATAGTCACCATATGTGAGTCCTTTAAATTGATTGTAATTGGTGGATTAATTAAAAATATAGTTTTAAGTCATTTAATTATAAAAATATTAAGATTAAAAAGTATTTTTGACTTTTCAAGTATTTATTATAATTTAGAAGTATTTATAAGTTGCAAATGTCTTATTAGAAGGAAAGTTATAAAAATAGAATCTTAGTAAGTCTTGGAGGCAATTATCTTAGTTAGTTTAGTATTTTTTTTTTTTGTTAAGTATTAAGAGTTAATTATTCAGACCATTGTCTTCATTGGCTTTCTATCTACATGTATTCTTTATAAAAACCTATCAATGATTAGTTAGTGGTTCGAAGAAGCATGAAAAAGAACTTCATGTCTTTTTAGTTAATTATATAAAAAATAGGATTTTTAGTGGGTTTAAATTGATTTTATTACTATAAAAAATCACCAAGATAGAAAAATACAGATTTGTATGAATATTAGTATTATAGAAATATTATGTGATTTTTTAGAATTTATTTAGGACTTTTTATGAATTTTTAAAGAAAATTTCAAGACCTTGGTAAAATTGAGTTTTACCACCTTGAGATCTATTACAAAGAAATGAAGTAAGACTTGAAGACTAAACATGGTTTTTAGGCTGATTAGGTGTTTTTGAACACGATGGTGAAGTCAAAAATATAAAAAAAATAAATTTTATTAGTAGAAAATAGGAGGACTAGCAACTAGTATAATCCTTGTAGGAAGAGAGGTGCACAATTCCCATGTGGGTTGTAGCACCTTGGGTACAGGTAGGAAGATAAGACTAAGGCCTCAAGGCTTCTTTAGACAACCAATATATACTACTTGTGAGCCTTGATGAGGCTCGAACTCCTAATTTCTTAAGCAAGTTATCCTTGAGGTAAAAATTATTCACTTAACTTTTTTATTATTTACATTCTATCTTTAATCTATCATAACTTATTCATAGTAACTTAAAATTACATGATTTTTATGTTATTGGAAAGATAAAAAAACTATCTATCTAAAACTATATTTTTTATTTTTTACTTTTACTTTTTTTTGGATGAAAATCCAGAGAATAGACAGTGACTTAGTTTTGGGTGTTGTGATTACTTGATTTCATTTCTTTCACATGTATTGTGGTTGTTCCTCTCTGGTCTTTTGCCAATTCCTTACTTCACTTTATACCACCAATGACAAGCAACTCTTAATTGATGCCATCTTGTAATTGGGATTGAGGAGTGAAATTTATACTCATAAGATTATAGATTTCTTCCATATGTGTAGGAATAGTACTTCTATGATTCAAATTAAAAATACCTAAGATTTTTATTCTAAGAATATTAACAAGCTTGTGGAGATTTGCAATTGTTGCAAATCTATTCATACTTTTGTCAAGTATAGTATCTATAATCTTTCTTTGTATAAAAAATTCAAAAAATTTAAAAAGTTATATTAGAAGAAGATAATCCACAACCTCTAATGTCAAATAAAAACTTCTATAAAGAAAGATAATTCATTTTTTTAAAGAAAAAAAATTAGTGTTAGAAAATTAAATTATTTGTTTAAAGGTAGGTAGTCCACAATCTTTAAAACACAACAATAAAAGTGGAATAATCTATTCACTTTTAAAACATAATAAGAATAATAAGTTATGATTCATGTCAAACTATCAAGGACATAAACCTTGAAAAACTATAAAGTCAATACACTCTTGTATTACTCAAAATAAACTAAAAAATCACTCAAAGATGATATAGTATTCAACTAGAATGGCTATTGCTAAAGATAAGAAAATTAAAAAGTCTTGAAAAAAGAGTAAGGACTAGAAAGGCATTGACAAGAGTAAAGAAGGCTTCACTCTTACTTCTATATATACTCTCTAATTAAGAGTTGTATGGAAATATTCTATAGGACCTCTACCACATGTTGACTTTGCATGACATATGACTTAATTTACAAGATAAGTTATCTATATGTGGGCCACATAATTAGCTTGTTCCACAAGCTATTAACATGTGTGAAACATGGCTAATTTATTGATTAAATTATTAGCCTATAAATTAACTTTAAACACATGTAAAATCAAAGCAATGTCTATGAAGCTTTTAAAAAGCCTTTTTAGAAGATATTATGAAATTAATCTACTTTTATTTACTTCTACTTAATTA